GTGTTGCATGTGTTATGCACAAAGAGACAGGATGATAACGCTTACTACTACTATAAGATATATGAAAGTTGATTCCAGCAATTGCACTATTTCATAATATAAACAATTTCAGTCTCAAACTCTGGCAGAAATACAGTGTGTGCAACAGTTCATCATCCTATTTCAAATGAACTATAACATAATTATGTTTGTATTTTCACAGATAAAACTGAACAAATCAAGGGACACTAGGTTTTAAATCATCCGTGGGGTTTATTAAACTATTTTTAAAAGACACAATGTAAACACAATATTTTTCCACTATGAAGTTTCTTTGGGCTCGTTACAGCACTTCTGCATGTAATTTATACTAATCTCTGTGGATTTTGTGTGTCATTCACACAGAAATAAGAGACAAATAGAGTCTTACTATAGGAAAATGAGCTAGAACTACAAAACGACAAAAATTAGCCTTATTCACAAAACAATCAAATCTACTTTCAATTTTTTTTAATTGATTATGTCAAGGATTTTCATCTATGAGTTGTAACAGTGTCTTGTCCTCCCTGCAACAGCAAATAACGAACGGGGGGGTGGAGGGCAGGATTATAATCTTAATGAGACTGAATAAGTAAAAAAAACAGATTAATTCCGAATACTGACAATGTCCTCCATTAAAAGTATTTCCCTCCCCTGGAACTTGGCATTACTTCCACTGAAGTCACGCTATCCTCCTGAATGGTAGGCTACTTCACAGTATGTGCTGCATATACAGGTTTCTTTCCAAGAGATGATAATAAAAACCCTTATATTTAAGTAGTACATATTAATGCTATAAATAATGCCTTAAAAGATCAATGCAGAAAAGAAGGGAGTTTTATTCCGGCTCCTCCCTCCACCAAGACAGAGATGGTTTTATCTACAGGCCTTGATCACAAAGGCGGTCAGTTAATGATTGGAAAAAACAAAACTGTAGAAAGATTAATTTCTTGCAGAATCAAGTAATCTAATCTGTTAGCACTCTCATGTCCTCGTTTCCACCGACATCACTACTCTGCCATAGCAGTACCATACATATGTAGCAAGACCTCATGTTACATGTAATAGTAAAAATTATCTGGATTGCCCTTTTGGTTACTTCTGTTTACACTTGCTGCACAAAGGGCAATAAGACAGAAGTGCTCCTCAGATGACCAGGCTATCCTTGTACCGCAGAAAATGCCAACGTAAGACACTCATGAATCATATGAAAGGAGCAGAAAAAGTGAATGTGTGCCTTCTGCTAACAAACCTGCCCACCACAGGCAATGCCATCTCTTCTAGATTCATTCAACCATGGTTTCGCACACGCTTCTGCGGATCGAGCACATCTCTTCTGGATTAGAATGGATGCTTTGGATGCGATGTATTCATGTAAAAACAACGGTGCAAAAAGGGATGATGTTGGGTTTAGGGTTTTGCTCCTATTTCTATGTATCCTTCTTTCTTTCTTAACTTCTTTCTTTTTTCATTTTTTGCTTTCTTCACACTTAACAAGCCAACGGATTCCGAAAGACCAATCAAACCTCAGTTTTGTCCTAAAAATTTGATTCTTCAAGTAGTCAGTCCTATTGCAACAGCTTTCATTTTAGCCTGATTTTCAAAGGAAACTATGGTTATGCAGCTGTGCTGTCCATACAGAAGCACACATATTTATACTACAAAATTCTTCTAGAACTTTTGAATTCAACTCATTTTAAAACCAAGTTCCTACAACTTTGATGAGAACAGGTAGCAGACAGAAGGAAAATGCTATTGATACTTTAATGATTTACGCAGAGACCATAATCAATGTCAAGCACTGGAGAGCTCACCAGGGAAAGCATTGTCATGAATGCCTCTTCTGCAAGAAGATTCATGTGAGCAATTGTTTAGACACAAGAAAGTTGGAAGTGAGACTTTACTAACCATGCTCTTCAAAGAATTATTTATAATACAATATGCACAAGAAAGCTAGCTTCTTATTTGTTCGACCATTTTTTCTTTGTGGATTTCTTTTTCCTTGCAATTGTATTTTCTGTTTCAGATAGCTATATACACTTCACTAACTTTTTAGACACAGATATGTATTCTCTTACTATTCTCAGGCATTTTGACTTCATTTCTCTGCATTTTGTTCTTCTGTGTCGGCAGAACATGCACCACAGTATGCATTTCGATGACTTTTGTGCCCCAGGGGCTCACAGGCTTGCCCATCTCTTTTTACAATAAATGTAAACAAACCATCAGTTAACAGACAGCTGCAATATCCTTCCAAAAGAACAACCTTTAAAAATACTGTTTACTTGTCTGAACACAAGATATCCTCCTACCCTTCAAAATAAGCGACTGATTGATGGGTAGGCAAAAGCATTTGCTTTGACAGAATCCGACTGACATCAGTTTTCATGTTCTTTGCTGTCTGAACAGTATCAAGCTGATCAGAGTTGTAATTCTGAAGCACATCAAACCAAGCAAAAAAACTGCCGTTCTTTCCTACACTGGACTTGTGGATTTGTTCAACATAAATTAGTGAGTAACAAATTCAACTATGACAAAAATCCATTGTATAAACTGCTTTTTACAACTCCTGAAATAAAGTAATAATCTAGCTTCTTACAGCTTCATTTGGCAAGAAGATGAGATCAGAAAAGAGCTGCAAGTTAACCCAACCGTCATTTGTTCTTTAACTTTTTTTACTTTTTTAAATTGGCTGTTGCAGAACGCTAGCTCTGACCAAACAGTTAACCAAGAAGGCATCAGGCAATAATATTCAAGAAAATTAAGTTTATATCCAAGTGCAACTGGCAACCACTGACCCTACAAATGACCTTTCTTATGCAGCTAATTACAGTAGCTTTTATAGTAGGGAGGAAAAATTTGGAGAGTCTGCATCTAATCTTGGAAGAAAGATGAGCACAACAACTTTATGCCTCAGTTATTTTTGCAGCCACACACAATTCGAGATCACATGACTAGGTACACTATTCAGCCCAGTTCCCAAAATCAACAGAAAAAAATATACACCTGATTTACATGCATGTTGGGTAAGGCCCTGGCTAGACTTTAATGGCCAAGATTGTGATACAGGTTGTGCTGAAGAACCTTACTATTTTTTTTTACAGAAAAGTAGAGCATTTTAAAGATCTGGCTGAGGACATAAAATCCATCTGGCAAAACTTTCCAACATATCAGAGAGATACTGATCACGTTTTCTTATGCTGTACATGCATAGGGCTTTCCTTGGTTTTGATACTTATCAGATCTATCGCATAGTGTAAGAGGAAAACCTCTAAACCTCTGCATCTTTTCAAGACTTTATACTCCATCAATACACAATTTTTCAACATAGGTATTTTAAATGGGAATAGCCTAATTCTGAAAACTATAATTTAAAATACATGTTATTTTAATATTTTAAAGATACTTATGTTTTATTCTTCTCTACAAAAGTAAAAATTCATTTCCACATACACTTAAAATAATAGAAAATTAGGTTTCCTTTCTCTCAGAAAGCCATTTCAAATTAATATAGAACAGATTTGTAAAACCTGCTTAACCCAGTCTGTTTTCTGCTGTGCCTGAAGTACTATATGTGCTACACATGAAAAACTCATTAAGAAGAGCTTCTGCTACCGTCCCGTTAAATAAGCCTCAGTGCATAAAATAACATGCGACATACGTATTTGAGACACTCTGTATTAGGAAAATTACCAAACTCCGTAAACACTGAAGAAGCCCTCCCATAGTCTACAACCTTTCGTGCATTTGATACCTGAAATAGTAAAACCTAAAAATCTTGCTAGTTTGCTTCAGTTGCTTTTCTAGTATACAGAAAGAAAGAGGTATGATCCCATGGTCTGAGTATGAAAATGGCAATCAAAATATCTTACCTAATGATTCCCCAAACCACACTACAGGAATTAACCAAATTGTACCAGCCTTCCCCCAGCACAACAGAGAGAACTTAATTTACACTGAATTGATCAAATCTATTCATCTAACAAAGAATACATGAGACATTTGGCTGCTAGGAGTGATTTTTAGAGAGCAGTAAAGCACACATTTAGCTACATGCTAAAACCAATTGAAATGGCATTCCTAGTTACTGAGAAACTCATTACTTCAAAATTTCTACTACTGGACAACTTATCTGTCTTGCTAGAGAATGGTACCAGGTAGAATAGAAACCAAAGGACATTAATAATTATAAGAAATAAGCATCCAACTCTCCCTAGGCAAACAGAACTTCCACTATTTAATTCACAAAAATAATATATATAATTTGCAACATCATACTGAAGTAAAACACAGACTCGTGATGAAAAAATGTATAAGCTGGCCAAGGCCACTGACCAATAAAAAAAAAATGCTAAAGGAAGGGAAATTTTAATAGGGAGTTATAACTTACCAGCTTCTAAAATGACAGAAGACTCGACAGAAGTCTTGAAAGACAGAAGACTGAAGTCTGTATATATATCGCTCTGACAGTTTAATTGAATCAAGATATCTAAAGAGGCACAGACAGTAAAACCAGATAAAGTGCAAAAAGGAATCTGTAAACTATCACAGAAAATACTACAGTAGGCTTTACCTTAGCTTTTTAAACAATTTAAATACTCCACTTGGATTTTTTTTACACATTTTAGAATACAAACTAACATTCAAAAAGATACTTCTAAGTTTTTTCAGGCCCCAAGTCACATGAACGTTTTCTTTAAATCAGTAGTATTTACAGTCAAATAAATGGAGAAGTTAGCAGATGAACACCTAAGGGATAGTAAGTATATGCTGTCCTCACGTATTCAAATCTGTGTGTGCTATGCTTTTTAAGGAAATATCTTCATATAAGCTTTCAAAGCAAAATTAACCATGCTTCCTAGCAGGCTATTATGAAAAATCACCACCCCGAGAGATAAAAACCAAAACATTGAAAAGAAGGGATTGCAAAATACAGTCAAACTAGAAGACTATTATTTTAACATGATTTCTTCCCAATCTCTCATGCTTTCAAGCAATTAATACAATTAACTCCACATTCCTTGGAAAAAGTTATCAATATATACATGTCAAAACTTTATCAATTCTTAATGTATGAATTGCCGCCTTCTTGCAAGAGGATGGCTACTTCTGGCATTTTTTGCAGAAAAGCTTTAACAGTGTTTGCCAAGTTAGTCCTTTTATCTTCCATCAGCATCTGCAGTCAGCTACTGCTTTGGTCAAAGAGTCCAGTGTTTTCTTTATTTTAAGAGGGGAGGCACAAACTCAGAGAAAAGAGTTGTAAGTCCTGCAGTTTCAAATTCCTTTTGTAGCTCATCCAGTGTTGAATATTCTTTGACTTCAAACATCTGAAACCTACATTGTAAAAGGGAAACTCGTGAATATGCCTAGATTTGTCAGAGTGTAATTATCGATTGTTACTTTTCTATCCACAACAGTACTAAATTATACCTTTTATGCTGTGACTGTACTTTTGTCTCACACAGTACACTAACGATTTTCTCTTTGCATTTCTTTCCGCTTGAGTCCACATCTACCTTAGAAGTTTTCTGAAGAATCAAGTACTCCTAAATGACAAGAGAGAACAAAATATTAAATGTCACCTACTATCTTTGAAGTTTTGCAAAATGCAAAAATCCATACAAAACATACAGATTTTTTACAGAACATAGCAATCCATCCCAAAAAGTGCATGACTGTTTCTATTCATCATCTTCAAGTTAAGCAGAGTCTTAAGTGATCCAGAGAACATGAGTTTGAAAAGTCAAAACATTCTTCTCCAATATAACCACAAAAACCTGCCTAATGCAGTGGGAGTTCATAAGTACAGGCAGGAAGTTCAAGGCCTAGGCATACAGTAGGAGCACCACATGGTCTAAGTCAAGGAAAGAGGCAGGAATGAGCTAGAAATATGTGTTATTAATTTCTCATCACAAATTTTTTGTTTTCTGGGGTGTTTGGGAAATACAGAACCTAGGCATATTACAGTCAGGAAACACAGGGAATACAGAGGTGTAATTACAGTGGGAAACAAAGCAATACAGGCCACAGGTCTACAGGTATCATTGGTTTCCTTCTCATAGAATAACTTCTTTTTCTTAAATACAGAATAAAGTTGTTGGGCCTTCCTGGTCTCCTAATGATCAATCTGCTTCCAAAATTGTTAATCTTAGGAAAACACACACAAAATATTCAGACACATAGGTTTCAGTGGTAAATCGATAGAACTAGTCAACATTCATTGTTCCTGCACCTTAATGTTGCTCCTGTCACCCTGAAGAAGAATCAATATTATCTTGCCCATGAACATCAGTCTTCCAGTCAGCCCTAGATCTGAAGTCCATTTTTCCACAGTTTTGACGTATTTTGCCCTTGCTCTCATGTGATCTAAATGCAAAAGGAGCATCCATATACCATCCTCTGTTCTTGTTCCTTTTGACAAAGTAGTGTTTTCATTGCAAACTGTTGCCGGTTGCTTAATGACATATTTAAGATGCTGCTGTATCCAAAGAATCAGATCGTGTACCATAGGTTCAGAAAGATGCTGCTTTGCTTGTTCAAGTAATTTATCTTTCACATCCATACATTGGGCCCTTGTAAGCTGGTCTGAGTTAACAGAAATATCTGGCAGAGTTGATGGATAATTGATTGGTAAATGAAATAACAGCTTTAAAAGTACATCTGTATCCGGCAGTTGTTTCACATTGATTTGAATTCGAAATGTGATTCCATGCGTCTCTGGAAAGTATAAAAAAATAAACATTAATAGTTTGCTTAAGTTGAAATACAGACATGTTATTAAGTCATGTTATTTTCTTTAACAATTCAACTCAAATGACTGCCATTCTATATAAAATAAGGGGTGTGGAGTTTTTTGCAGGCTGGCAGGTTGCAACGAATGGCTCAAGCTCTACTTGTAGGGAATCCTGAAATGAAACACTTCCATATCGTACTAGAAGGAAAGTTATTAACACATCCTAAAAAGCGTTCACACCTTTTGGCCCTTACAGAGTCTAGACAAGTCAGTAATAAAGAACTGTCTCTCAGAAACATGCAAGGCACCTTCTACAGCTCAATAGCAGCAGTATGGTCAACTGAAAATTGAGACTTTTCTGGATGGACTCAGCACTGCCCTAATTTTGTCCCTAGAGAAACCTGTAGGACTTCTACCATCTATATCAGCACAAGGCAAACAGACTTGTCCTGAGTATTTTTTTGAAACAATAAAATATTTTTTGAGACAAAAGCAGTTCTACACTGAAGAGAGATTTAGAAAGAAAAAAGTCAAATTCTTTGTCTCTTACAACTTTCAGAGAAACTATGCTTAACTCTTTTCTGCCAACTTCTCTACAACAGTTGGATTGTCATAATTAGAACATGCCTGTTGTACATCTGACCCTAGATACTACAGACATACATATATATATACACACACATACTTATATAAAAATACGTGTATATATACTTGCATATCTACTCAAAATCTGTTGTTGGTCTACATCAGAACAGAATTATTTTCAGAGCGAAAAGAACACACACAGAACATAGCAGGAAGGGCAAAAGACCACATCCTCCTGATAAATCATATAATCAAAGATGCTGAATATGAAAGTTATGTGCAGCAATACCTGCAATAAAACCTTCTTGACTAAAACATGTTTCACAGAAAAACAACACAAAACTTCATGAAGCAAAAAGTGGGGACAAAGACCTAACCTACTTTTTGCTCCTCTGCAATGAAGAAAGAGGGTATCAGATAAAAGATGATCTTCTTCAGATGTTCTCTGCTTCACCCCTTTGATGCATTCTAAACACTTCACCCCATTTCTTTAAAAAATTGCTAAAATGTCAGGTTGATTCATTCTATGAGGGCAGGAGAAGCCAGATTTGAAAGTCAGATTAGAGTTTCAGAGGATCTCTTTTGAAGTGACTTGCCACCTTCTCCCCCTACCTTATCTTACCTTCCTTTACATGACAGTCAGTTGAATTATGTTTGATTATGTTTGATTGCTGACGCCACTAATCAACCTCAGTGCTCTCTACAATTTTATACTTGAACCCTACTAAATAAGTGAAAGAACCTAAACGTAGCTTGGAAAGACAGAAGCACTTTAGAGAGCTTAGCCAAGGGCTGTTTCCAAACCTCCTTGCTAGGTCATACAAAGAACTCTCTAGGTGAGAGCAGTCACAAAATAAAATAAGCAAACTCTCCAAACCAAATCAAACTCTAGCATTACTATGAAGAAGTCTCCAATCATCTACACACCATCGCTACCTAAATGGAATCAAATCCAGTGCTGAAAGTAGTGGACGCAAATACAGTGAAATTGCACCCAACCATTCGCATACCCACAGACACTACCTGTCAAAGCCTCATGCCCTGCCCACAGGACTTGGTCTCCAGTCTTCTAAGACCCTATGAGGTTCCAGACTATTTTTAATACACATTTATTCCTCAGAAATGCACCAGCCTTGGAAAAGACTCTACTTTCTACTGTGTCCATCCGGTAGCTTGAGGCCCTCGCTCACAGGCAGTAGCTACACAGGATGACTTCAAGCCTTCCCATTCCAATCTGTGTCTTCTGCTGCCCTGCCCACTACGCTAGGCTTGGTACATACAACCATGCACACAGGAAGAAAAGCCTGCTCTGCACCTCCTGGGACCCCCAGCACCCTCTGGACTGCCACAGAGGGTCTTGGCACACACCTGAGCATCAGACAGCACACAGACAGTGACTGACGACCCACCTCCTTCCAGCTGCCCCTTACACAGGGCAGCCACACCAGGTACACAGCTGCCTGAAAGCAAGCTGCATTTGGCTGAACAGTATTAACATTATTATATTACTGCCCGTGAATTACTTTATTTTAAACTATGTTGCCAATAAATTTTAAAATGCATAGCCTATAAATGACTTGAAGAATACTACTCTATTGCCAGCTTAATAACAGTAACAGAAAAACACATTACCTTTCTGATAATCCTCCTAGGATTTTTTCACTAGCTTGTCATAACAGATCTCACCAACTTAGAAGTAACTGAGGGATAAACAGATAGGCCAACCTTGCCCCTTTGGCAAGGCCCTCCTGCTGCAGTGATCATATTCTTAAGACTGCAACAATCTCACACCTTTCCCTGTGATGATGAACTAATCCGAAGGAAGCAGCGCAGCCTCGCATCCCAAGGTGTATCACCCTGAGCCATTGCGAAAAGCCCAGCTGTGCTCATTTACATCTGCTTCAGACTTACTTTTAAAAAGGAGAATTGGTTCGAAACGTTTGTCAGGCTACAGTGTCTAAAGTTTATTTAAACGTTCCAGCATCCACCTTCTGCACCAGCATTGCAGACAGCTGGCAGAACAAAGAGCAACCACCATCACCCTGCATAACGAGGCTCTAAAGAAATACTTCCTTTGTTTGCACACACTACAAGGTCTGAGTTAGTCTTCACAGCAAAATGGTGATTATTTCTGATATAAAAGGTTGGGTATGACTGTTCTGCTGGCATTTAATGTGCTAATAAGACTAAATTCAATACATTTTAACTCATTTTCCCCGATAGATGCATGCTTATCAGTATATTTAGCTCTAGCATACTTCAGGTTTTCTCTTATGTTCCACATCAACCAGACAGATATCCCCCTCCTCTCCTGCCCAAAGGCATTTTATGCAGCACATGCAGTCTATTTTTAAATTCAGAAAATGGCACCTACTAACGTACAAGCTTAGAATATATAAATATATTTTTATAGCAAGCTTGGTGAGCAAACCAGAAGAGAACAGATTAACAAGTAAATTATGGATTTCTATCTGTAACACTAATCTTTGTAGATAGATATGTAAGGTAAAAAAAGATATGCCGTAATTAGTTTACTTAAATTCATCAACACATTGGTTTTGACAAAAACATATTTTACATTCTGAATACTTCATTGTTATGTTCCAGAAAGCCAAATTTTTTTAGCATACCAAGAGAACTGCAAAAGCATTTTCTTACATTCCTCCATAAATCCCCAATGGCCTCCTTTTTGATCCTGTGGATCTACAAAAAAATCATTCTTAATGTATTAGAGATAGCATAACATAGTAGTCTTACTGGAAGTTACTTATGTGCACTCTTTGTCAATGACAGTTTATATGGTTTGAAGAGGTAGAGCAAGCATAAACTAATGAATACAGCAGAAGTTAACTGGACACAAACTAAAGGATTTTGTACCTCCGATGCAAAAAAGTGAATTCCCAAAGTAAGAAAACCACCAATAATCATTGTTGTAAATAAGCTTTTCAATTCCAGCAGAAAATGACAGAAATCAACCAGATATGCACGATCCTAACATATCAGGAACACAGCCTGGCTAAAGGCCCTGAAAGGTTGCATAACATCAATACAAATATAATAGCCTGTTCCCATTGTGCACTTGTGGCACTACACTTTATGTTCCAGGAAGGTTTCTAAGCCTTTCACATTCTGGGAACTTATAAGCACAAAATCATTTTTCTGTATATGAAGCACAAAGAAGAATGTGCATATATTTCTCTAATGGATTTGGAGGAACAGACATGCATATGTAATGTTCAGATATGTCCACATTTAAAAAAAAAAAAAAAGTTAAATCTGGATACTGTGTTTTCAAACTATGCCTGAAATAACATTCCTGAACTTTTTGACTTTAAGAAAATGAAACTCAGTTGAAACATTTTATCAACTGTATTTTCTAAATACCAATAAAAAAAAATAAAATGGCAGAATTACCTGCCCACAGTGGAGCAGGAGGTGTGTCATGCAGATCTAGACAGAAAACAATTCTGCTTTTAGATTACCACAGTTAATTGTGCTCCACGCAGCCATTAATGTCTTCATCCCTCTGAGGCTGTCCACATGCAAAGTCCTCTTTTCAAATAATCACTTGCTGTTCTGTGTGAATCTGTTTCTACAACTATTTTCAAATAAAAGTTTGAGGTTTATGCAGTTAGTTGCTTAGTAACTTTTTAGTTACAGTGAGACACTCGAGAGCAGCCACACATAATTTCACACCAAAGCAGCAAAAAGTTATTTTCAGAGAATCACAGATCAGTTGTGGTTGGCAGGGACCTCTGGAGGTCATCTTCCAACCTCCTCGCTCAAGCAGGGCTACCTACAGCAGGCTGCCCAGATGGCTTTTGAATATCTCCAAGGATGGTGACTCTACAACCTCTCTGGACAACCTGTTCTGCTGCTCAGTCACACGCACAGTAAAAAAGTGTTTCCTTATCAATTCAAGTTATTTTGGCCTGAATACACAGGCAGACAAAAATCTGACAGCAGGGCACTGGATCCATCTTTAACAGGGACTTAAATACAGTCCAACCAGCAGGAAGCTGCTTGCTGGCTGTTGCTCCATTGGGGAGCTGGGCAGTATGCTGCAATAGCTCCCAGGACACCAGGGAACAGTAAGTGATACAGAATATAGGCGTATTTTTTGTGTGTGTGTGTGTTGTCACATCTGTGGTAGTCACTAATCAAAATTTACTTACGCTCTGGACGTGAACAGGCATGCACCACTTGCATGGCCCACCTGACACTTTAAGACTGATAGTAACTGCTGTTGTACAGTGGAACTACTGAGATTTATTCTCCCTTGCTGAAAGGGCATCTTCACAGCACTGTGACGACACAAACTGATAAAAGGCATCTCTTAAAATTTCATTCTCATCAGAGGCCACCATAGCTGGTGCCAAAAACATGGAGTAAGGGTGTCTACTCTGTGTTCCTAGCCTTCAGCAACCAGCAGATGATGGGAGCAAGCACTACCAATCTTCTCACCTTCCTACCTACAGCAAACATGGAAGATCAGCCTTAGCACCCTGTAAAACCTACAGCCATACGAGTATTGCTGAAGCCAGAGAACATACAGCACATCGTAAGGCCCGAATTATTACCCTACCCCCATAAAAACACAGAGATGACACCAGGCTTCTTATGCATAGCAGCTGCACCCCTATTAAATACTACAGGATAAACACCTGGTCTTGTTACACGTGTGAGATGCAGCTGCTTATTTACCTAAACAGCAGCCAGCCTGTTCCCACTGCTGCCCTTCACCCACCGCAAGTTTCCGCACCCACCGCAAACGGCGGGAATGAAGAAAGTCCCTCGTGACACGCGAGCAGGACGCGCTAGGCTTTGTCCCCCGCAAAGAGGCCGCCAGCAAAGACACGCAGCAAGACAGGCACAGGCGAGGAGTCGCCCATCTCCGGCGCTGCCGCTAATAGCAAGCGATTAAGCCGTTGCTGCCCGGCGCCCCGAGGCCGCACCCCTTGCCGGGGCTGGGAGAGCCTCCCCCCCGGGAGCGGCCCTGGAGCACCTCCTCTCGGGGCCGGGCGGG